TGTTGTTGTCCCACCTTGGTCCTAGGTCGGGAGCTGTGTGGGCATTCGGCGGGGGACAGATGACTCGATGCATGTCCTGGTAGATGGAGAGGATATGGGGCCAGCAGCTACTGGCATTGCCAAGGTAGACCCAAGACTTACCTTAGATTCTGGGGGTGGGGTTGAGGTGTTCTGCTCATCTCCAACTTCCTGGGTCTTTTGTGTCTCCAGAACGTGTGGGCAGTGTTGGATCTATACGGGCCAGTGCGGAGTGTGTCTATTGTCAGCTCCACAAGGCTAGAGGAGTCAGAAGGCACACAGCCTCCTTCCCCCAGCTCTGACACTGGAAGTGAGGGCGATGAAGACGATGAGGATGAGGAGCATGGCCTGGGAGTAAGAGGCTGCAGCAAGGCCCTCTGGGCACATGGATGAGAGGTTTGGTGGGCCATTGGCCACCAGCTCATTTTTGGGTTCCTTAGTCCTATCCTGGATGGATAAAAGCCTGCGTGCAAGCTCTGCATAAACTCTAGTGGGGTGGCTTGGGCCCTGCATCAGTAACCCCAGCAGCTCAGTCTGTCCTCCACATCAGGGCCAGGATCAGGTGGCCATTATGCCTACAGCCCTCGAGTTCCTGGAAAACCATGGGAAGAATATCCTCCTATCCAATGGGAACCGTACAGCTACACGGGTGGCCAGCTACAATCAGGGCATCGTTGTCATCAGCCAGCCCCTGGTGCCCCAGCTGCTGGTCCAGGTGGGCCTCCTCTCCTTATCCCTTCCTTGTCCCCAGCAACTCTTGCTCAGGGTGACCCAGGGCCAACCCTACTGGAGCAAGGCCTTTCTAGATTTAGGACAAAGTCGAAGGTAAGTCCCTTGAATGAGATTTTGTTCATGCCCTGTGATGGGAGTTGCAGGTCGGTTACCAGGAAGTGCCCACCTTAGTGACTGATGAAGCAGTAGGGAAGAGCTGGAGGATTCCAGGGGAGGTGCCTAATCCTTGATGTGGGAGCAGGGAGGGCTTTCCAGAGGAGAGGCCCTTCTGCTGCTTACTGAAAGATGTCACTGTTAGCCAGGGGAAGGAAGCCTCTATGAACAAGAATCCTTAGAGTCAACAGAAGACCAAGGCTGAAAGAGGGAAGGAATTCAGTGAATTTTCCGTTTCTGGTCCCTCTAAGCCTTAGAAGGGACAGCACCCCAGGCCACACTCTGGGAGGTGTCATTCCTCCCTGGATACTATGAGAAGCGTGGATGTGCTGGGTGTGTGGCTTCTTTCCGGGAGGCCATGACTGGGGAAAGCCACCTTCTCCTCCAGATACGGATAGACTTCCTAAACCGGCAGTGGACATCTTCCCTTGTTCTGGGAGTCATCACCTGCCCACCTGAGAGACTCAACTTCCCTGCTTCTGCCTGTGCCCTTAAACGGGCAGCCTGGCTGGTGCGGGGCCGTGGGGTCTTCCACAATGGCCTCAAGGTGGGTAGGGAGCGGAGAGAAGTGGGCAGCCAGGTCCCTGGGTAGGGAGGGGCTGGTCCAAAAGGAGGAGGGGGGCCCTGAGGCGTGAGTATTATTTACCTGGACAGTCTTGGGCATTCTGCCTCTTCCTATGTCCCTACACTTGAGAATGTTGCAGTTGGGGAAAGGGGAGGTAGAGCCCGGACAGTGGACAAGTGTGGAGGCAAAGCCCCCTTGGGAGCAACCCAAAACAGAGTGAAGGGTTGGGGTGGCTGCTGCTGGGAGTCTGATCTCTGGGAAGACAGTGGGTCTCTCCTCCCAGATCTGTGAGAAGTTTGGGCCAAATCTGGACACGTGTCCTGAAGGCACCATCCTGGGACTTCGGCTAGACAGCTCTGGGAGTCTGCATCTCCATGTCAATGGGATGGACCAGGGGGTGGCTGTGCCAGATGTCCCTCAGCCTTGCCATGCACTCGTGGACCTCTATGGGCAATGTGAGCAGGTTAGTGGCAATGGAGGCAGGGAGGTGGGAGGGCCTGGGAGATGGCTGTCCAAGTAAAGAGGAAGTCTGTTGTCTGAAAGGAAGGGATATAAAGGAGTCTAAAAAGGAGGGGATCAGCAGGCCCTGGAGGCTAGTCACACTCTAGCTGACCACCCCTCTGTTCTGCAGGTGACAATTGTGAGTCCTGAACCAGGAGCTGCCAGTTTGAAGAGTGCTGGAACCCAAGGGGACATGGAGAAAGCTGACATGGTGGATGGTGAGCCAGCCCGAAGGGACCAGGACCCTACCCCACCTCACCCTGTACATCTAACCCCATTTCTTGTGATCTCTGCCCCCTCTGCTCTCTCAGGGATCAAGGAGAGTATATGCTGGGGTCCACTGCCCACTGCCAGCCCTCTCAAGAGCTGCGAGTACCATGCCCTTTGCTCCCGTTTCCAAGAACTGTTGCTGCTTCCTGGTGAGTACCCAGTCCCCTAGAACCTGCCTCAGTCAGAAGACTATGTGGTTGAGACTCAGGGCAGGAACCATAGCACCAAATCTGCCACTTACTCTCCCACAGAGGATTATTTTATGCCTCCACCGAAGCGTAGCCTGTGCTACTGTGAGTCTTGCCGGAAGATGCGAGGGGATGAGGCCCACAGGCGCCGTGGCGAACCTCCCAGGGAATACGCCCTACCCTTTGGCTGGTGCAGGTTCAACCTCAGGTACATATGGGGCAGGATCGTGTGTATCCCTTGCTGTTCTTTGCCCTCTTGAGAAAGGAGGATCCCAAGAGGGTACATGAAGTGACAGAACTTCGTATCTAGGGGATAATCTTGGGGAGCCAGTGACTTTTGTCCTATCTGCCCTGTCTATTCACTTGCTAGGGTGAATCCTCACCTGGAGGCTGGGACACTAACCAAGAAGTGGCACATGGCATATCACGGCAGCAATGTGGCAGTCATCCGAAGGGTGCTGGACCTCGGGGAGTTGGGAGCAGGTACCGTAGCCCTGGCAGAACCAGAGCAGGCTGGGCCTGTGGGCTGAAGTAGGGTTATCCTGACCTAGTTCTCCTCCCAGGCACTGCCTCCATCCTGAGCTGTCGGCCCTTGAAGGGAGAGCCTAGGGGAGGATTTGAGGAGCCAGGCGAGAACTGCGCACCTCCTCGGGAGGAGCAGCCCCCTCCAGTTCTGCTTTCTCCCTCCATCCAATATGCTGGGGCCGAGACCCTGGCATCCAAAGTGCAGTAAGTACATGGGATGCCTCAGAGCCTCTAAAATCTCCATGATTTGCCCTCCCTGCTCCCACCTTGTTTTGCTAGTTCCTCAGTCTCCATCCCAACCCTTTCTTCACATGTTTGTTGAAAAAATGCCACTTCTTTTGTGATATCTCAGTGAGCAAAAGGGAAAACTTGTTCTTGTGGAACTTAAGTTTTCTCTCTAGAATGTTTATACATAATGAGTATTTAGTATTTTTAAAGGTGAAAGTAGTACTATGGAAACAAAAAGAGTGCTAGAGAAGTGGATTAAAAGTGTGGTTGAAGTCCTGCCTGGTGTGGCTCAGTGGATTGAGCACCGGCCTGCAAAGTAAAGGTCGCCAGTTTGATTCTCAGTCAGGGCACATGCCTGGGTTGCGGGCCAGGTACCTAGTTGGGGGCATGCAAGAGGCAACTGGTTGATGTTTCTCTCACACATCAGTATCACACATCCCCCTCTTTCTCCCTTCCTTTTTCTCTCTCTCAAAGTCAATAAATAAATTTTTTTTAAAAAGTGTGTGGTCGGAACAGGCATACTAAATAGGATCGTCAGGTTAGGTATCATTAAGGTGAGATTTGAACAAAGGCTGGAGAAGGAGGTGAGGAATTTAGCTGAACAAGCATTGGGAAGAATACCATTTAGATAGAAGAGCTAGATTCAAGTCCCTTCTAAAGTGGGAGTGATTCCTAGGAACAGCACGGCCAGTGTAGTGGTTGCAGTTAGCAAGGGGGAGAGGCGACAGAAGCCTCACCACCCTGTTTTTACTTTTTGCCTGACAGATTCCGGGACCCCAAATTCCAGCGGACACACCAAGCCCAGGTGGCTTTCCAGGTGTGTGTGCGTCCTGGCTCCTACACTCCTGGCCCTCCTTCTACTGTCCTCAGAGAACCTCCTGATCCTCACTTCAGCCCAGCTGAACTTGAGTGGGTAACCAAGGAGAAAGGGGCCACACTCCTCTATGCCCTGCTGGTACGGGTGGAATGAGGAGGGGAGACCTCACTACTACAAGCACAGTTGGGCTTTGGGCCCACGGACTCTGAGTGACGACTGCCTCCACCTCATTCCAGTGACCCACAGCATGCATGGTGCTCAGTCTGGCAGACGCACAGGAGCATGTAGGCAGTCTTTCAAATTTAGATGGGAAGTGGAGCACATCTCTGTGTCCAGGGCCCCAGAACACTCACTCTGAGGCAAATGAGTTTGTGGGGAGCCCAGCTGCAGGCCCTGGGTAACCCCTGTTCATGCACTGACTTGGGGAACAGGACTCCCTACCTAAGACTCCCCACCCCCGTATCACTTAATTTATTTGTTTTTGTTCTTGGTTACTGTGAATCCCAAAGGAGTCTCTCTGTGGCCCACATGAGGCTGCTTTTCCCTGTGGCCCCCAGGCGGGAATGGGGAAGGGCGAGCGAGCGTGGTGGAGGGGTTGGGTCCTCTGTACAGTTGTCACTACTCTGATTTCGAAGGAGCCAATAAACACCGTCTCTGAGCATTTGTCTCGCCTTTCTTGCACGCCCTAAGGGCATCACTGGCCTGCCCAATCAGGGTCCCCGCTGCAGGATCCGCCAGACTGGAGCCGGCTTTTGCAGCTGCCGGGCCAACAGGAGCTACGTTCAAGGGTGGTTGGCGTGGGGTGGTCCAAGTGGAAGGGTTTGGACTTCACAGGCACCCGTCCCCGGCATTTCCGCCTTTCCCTCCCTGCCCAATCTGAAGCCGCTGATGTTCTGACCTCGGAAGGATCAACCCCTGCCACCGGATGTGACGCAGGGTCAGGGTGCGCAGGAGGCTGCGGAGGAAGCGAAGAAAAAGCGGGTAGGGAGGGGCTGGAGCCGGGGCTGGCGGGGAAGGGGGCGGGAACCCCAGGCTATAGACCCCTACGCGCAAGCGCGCTGGAGCCGCGTGGTCACTGTCCATGTGACCGGGGCAGGCAGCGGGCGGCCTTCCGTCTGGGCCGACAGGGCGCGGTAACCTCTGAGTACTCGCCTTCCTGCAGGCCCAGTCCGAGGTCTGGCAGTCAGCGACAGAGTCGGGCGTCCACGGCCCAAGTACCCCCGGCAGCACCATGCCTGCGCTCCTGGAGCGCCCCAAGCTTTCCAACGCCATGGCCAGGGCATTGCACCGGCACATCATGATGGAACGGGAGCGCAAGCGGCAGGGTGAGTCCGGGCTAAAGCGGGAGGGCACACACCTATGGCGGTACCGCTAGCAGACCAGTGCACCGGCGGCTGAAGCTAGAGGAGGGATGGAACAGCCCTGCTGTGGTAGGAGTTTAAATCACCAGGTCTGAACTCCAGAAACCTTGAGCTGGGAAGGACCTTGGAGAGCACCTAATGAAACTTACCTCTCCCTGTCCCCTGTAGTCTTTTCAAGAGCATAAAAGATCATTGGGATAACCAGTTTTGGCTCGTCTTCAGTCTCTAACGTTCTAATTATATTAACCACCCTGCCACTTTTCCGTCCTTTTTGACTCTTCTTCCAGAGGAAGAAGAAGTAGACAAGATGATGGAACAGAAGATGAAGGAAGAACAGGAGAGAAGAAAGAAAAAAGAGATGGAAGAGAGAATGTCACTAGAGGAGACCAAAGAACAAGTATGTATCATCAGTCCCTTGATCTCTCCCAGCTTTTTCTTCTTTGGCTTTCCTACTTTCATCTTCTCTTCCTTCCTTTCCCAGATCCTGAAGTTGCAAGAGAAGCTTTTGGCCCTACAGGAAGAGAAGCACCAGCTTTTCCTGCAGCTCAAGAAAGTTTTACATGAGGAAGAAAAACGAAGGCGAAAGGAACAGAGGTGGGACTGGAGAGCTAAAGTTTAAATTGGGAGCAAAAAATATAATTGAGTCAGGTAACAAAAGATTATTGTTTAATGTTGAGGGAGCATTTGTCCTTGATTTTTGACCTGCATTCTTTTTACTCTAGTGACTTAACCACTCTGACATCAGCTGCATACCCACAGAGTCTGACTGTTCACACAGGAACTCATCTCCTCAGCATGCAGGGTGAGGATTAAAGAAACCACTGTCAGAATGGATCCTCCTGGATCCTGTAGACTACCGGTTCAGCATCATGAAGCCTCTCTTCCTCTCTAGGAAGCCCTGGAGGACACAATCGCCCAGGCACCCTCATGGCAGCTGACAGAGCCAAACAGATGTTTGGACCCCAAGTGCTTACAGTAAGAGTAGGATTGTTTTCCCTAATTTTTTTCACCCACTGTACTAAACCAGTACTCAAATCATGAGTGTAACACCTGTGTGGGGGAAAGTGGGACATGAGTCACTTGAGACTCTGCTGTCAAGGAATTTACAGTGAGTTCTCATCCTCAGACCCGGCATTATGTGGGCTCAGCAGCTTTCGCAGGGACTCCAGAACATGGGCAATTCCAAGGCAGCCCAGGCGGTGCTTATGGCACTGCTCAACCCCCACCTCACTATGGACCCACCCAACCGGCCTATAGCCCTAGTCAGCAGCTCAGAGGTGAGTGATGGGAAAAGGGGGAGGGGGCTTTTCTCAAGGCCCACAAGGAGGAGTGTTGTAAACAGACTAAAAGGACTTGCTGATGGCTGTGCCTCCTGCTTTTCTCAGCACCTTCAGCCTTTCCTGCAGTGCAGTACTTGTCTCAGCCACAGCCACAGCCTTATGCCGTGCACAGCCACTTCCAGCCGACTCAGACAGGTGATAACACCCCACTCAGGGGCCCTAGTTCCGCAAGTCCTTTTCCCATTCTCTACGAGTAATTTCACACACCTTTTTTATCTACCTAGGGTTCCTCCAGCCTAGTGGTACCCTGTCCCTGCAAAAGCAAATGGAACATGCTAACCAGCAGACTGGCTTCTCCGACTCAGTGAGTGTAGAGCACTGGGAGGTGAGAGGAAGGGCTGTGTTAAGGGTAACCTCAGGCTGCCTCAGGTCCTGACTCTCTTCTCTGCAGTCCTCCCTGCGCCCCATGCACCCCCAAGCTTTGCATCCAGCCCCAGGACTCCTTGCCTCTCCCCAGCTCCCTGTGCAGATGCAACCAGCAGGGAAGGTAAGGATGATAAATCATACCTGCCTACCCCAACCCCTATACTACCAGGGAAAACAGGATTGGGTAGGCCGGTAGCCCACACACATCTTGGCTTTTCCTTTTTTGGGGGGTGGTTGAACGGGTGTGGAGTTAGAAGGGAGCATGTACACTGACAAAACCACCTTTCAATACTACTGCCAGTCAAGCTTTGCAGCTACCAGCCAACCCGGCCCCCGGCTTCCTTTTCTCCAGCACAGCCAGAATTCAAGATTCTACCACAAGTGACCATCAAATATTATCAACCTCACCCCACCCCCTACCATGGGTGAAGATCCTAGTCCTAGGCCAATAAAATCTATCTGCCAATGCCCCTGGCTGGTGCTGTTTGTGTTACCTTCCACTTGGACTAGGCCAGGGATGCTTGGGGTGGGGGAGCAGAAGTAGCTCGCAGGTCACAGTGGGGCAGTGAGTTGGTTACAATGAACTTGGTGGTCACAGTCCCATCTGTATCTTTGGTTCTCAGATTTCCTTTCTAATCACCAAATGCCTTTGATTCAAAGTAGCCAAGTTGGGGCTTCATATTAAACTTGTAGTTTTATTCAGGTTTGATTTTTAACAAATATGTCAGGGAGAGAGCCCACAGGAAAGGGTGAAGCCCACGGGGGCAGGGCCCTCCCAGATGCCTCAGGAGGGGGCAGGTCCCCTTCTCTCTTCCCCTTCCTTCTCCTGCTAAAGGAATTTGGGGAAAGAGAGTTAGGCATGGGGAGGAGGCTGGTCCCCAGTCTGTGGAGATGGTGTTTGGGGTAAAGGGCTATGGGAACAGGGACCAGACCAGGGATGAGTAGGGGGGGGTGGGGCACAAGGACTAGTTGCCAGAATCCACAGATTTCTGATTCCAAAATGAATTAAAAAGAAAAAACCCCAAAACAAAACAAAACACCCCTAAACCACAAGCAGCACCCACCCCTACTCCCCCATCAGTGCTGTAGTTCCAGGGGAGAAGAGGAGGGCGGCTTCACCAAGGCCATGGCTCGCTCACTCCTGGCCAAGGGAACAGGATGAAGGGCAGGGGCTCCCCAACAGAATGAGGGGGTGGGGGAAACCAAAATAAAACGTCAAATAAATTGTGTAGGAGTCCAGCCAAGGTCCCAGCCAGAGCCGGGCCAGGCTGGGGGAGGGGGCCTCTGCAGGCTCGAGGATCACTGCTTCCACCATGGCCATCCTAGGTAGGAGAGAAAAACCAGGTAAGACAGGATAATACCTTCAACAAGAAGAGGGGTGAGGACAATGCTGAGACCAGAAAGCCTGGAACAATTAAGACTAAAGCAACCGCAAAGTATGTAAAGGGAACCTGGGGGGAGTCTGTCACACTCACATGGGAGCCAGTTATTTTGCCATGGCCTTGATTGCAACAGCTGCCTCCTCTGTCATGGCAGAGAGCACTGTAATCTGTGAGGAACAAGACAGAGTCAGAAGTCTGAACTCAGAAACAAAGCACAGAGTAAAGTTGGGCACAAAAGAAAGGGATGGGACACCATACCAGGATCTCCTCTCCACAGTCATACTTCTGCTCAATCTCCTTGCCAAGGTCCCCTTCAGGCAGGCGGAGGTCCTCTCGCACCTCCCCACTGTCCTGGAGCAGTGATAGATACCCATCCTGGATGCCAATCAGCTGGGGGCAGATAGGGAATGAAGCTGAAGGTTGAGGATAAAAGGTCTGATAGACAAACTAGGGTGGCAAAGTGCTAATACCAAATACCCTCTCCTGCCCTTTCTTTCCTCTCTCCCATCACAAGCTCTTCTGGTTAATCTGTATTCCCACCCCCAACTACTAACCCATCTACGTACCTGGAAATCATTCCTTTTGATGTTGGGGACATCCATATTATGAGTTGATGGGCAGATATCTTCATATTTCTTCCCAGTAAAGATGTCAATACCAACCAGGTGAACCTGTATATACGCATCATGTTAAAGAGACACCCAACCAAACTCTAGGATGGAGGAGATAAAAGCTCAAGGTGTCCCTGGCTGATGAGGGAAATCAGACTAAATTCTTTGAGCAAACATTGGGGAAGTGGGGAATGAACTATAGAATCAAGAAACACTCAAGCCTCTAAAAAGAACCTGAGGTCAAAAGACCACTGTTGAGATTGGATTGATAGCACAAAGGAAACTAGGCCAGACTTGGAACAATCAATTACCCCCAGCTATCAAATAATTGACAAATAAAAGGCTAGGAGCCTAGAAGTAGGAGGAATCAATCTAGATAAAAGTTTAGTTTTCTAGACATCAGGAAAAAAGGCCAAGAACTTAGCAAATAAGGAAGATAAAAGGGAAAGCTGACAATAAAGGACTGAGAAAGGAAGACCGCTGAAAAGAAAAAGTGACTTGGGGGAGATCAGAGAGAATTAAGCAACTAGGAAATAAGGAAACTAGAAAGAACACAGAGAAGGATGAATGCCAAGTCAACAGAAAATTAAAAAAAAATTGATTAGGAAACAAAATAACAAGAAATATGTTCAAGGATGACCAGGTTGAACTTTTGAGGAAAGAAGTCTAAACTATCAAGGAAAGCACTAGGCAAGTGCTAACATTATGACCCAAGCAAAGAGACTCTAAGAACTCAAGGAAAGGTGACAGCTAGGTTATTTGGAAGTTCAGAGCTACAGTGGCCCCCTTCAGGGAAGGCTGTATTCCATCACAAGATTGGAGAAACCCTGGGAAAAAATGATAAAAACAAAGATCACCTACAAAGATTCAAGGGAAAAGAAATAAACAGAAAAAGTAAAACCCAGGAATAAGGAAAGAGCAGGTGAATAGCCAGAGCATAAAGTACTATCAAGAGAAGTTAGAGACTCACACAAAGACAGAAAGAGGGGTCACCAGAGAATGATAGTTGAAGAGGCCCAAATCCAGGAGCAAGAATAGTAGGAAAGGTATCCAGGGCTGAGTGCTGAACAGAAGGAATGGGATGGTAGGTAAGAAAAGAGTTAAAGACTGAGGGCTAGGACAGATGACAGCTTGCTGTCAAGAGCCACACAGACTTGGGAGGTATGGGGAAGGCAAGATATGAACAGGTGAAATTCTAACCTTGGCATGGCCGTGCTTGCCAGTCTTGGAGGTGGACATCTCCACAATCTTACATGGCCGTCCTTTGAGCACCACAAAGCCATTCTTACGTAATGCTGAGCACTGCATTGGGAAGGTGGCAGAGGCCCCTGCATCTCCTGTCTCGAAGTCCAAATCATCTGCCATTTTAAGAGGCTTTGATTCCAACTAGAGTCAAGGGGGGGGGGGGAAACAACTGGGGTAAGGATAGAGGTTAACAGTATCTCCAATTTATACTGAGACATTGTCTCATTTTCTTCCCAGGTGTTAATTCCATTACTCTCCTAAAATTAAAATATTGCCAAAATTCCGAGACTAAGTATTGACTGGGATTACACATGCTTGAGAACTTATGTGTGTATTGTGGGGGGAATAAGCTGGATCCCCAACCCAATAAAACCTAAACTCGGTTTGGGAAAGGAAGTCTTGGGGCATTAGGATGACAAATCTCTGAAACAGACGAAGACCTAATCCCTTGGAGGGGTAGGACTCAGGTGTTGCCTGCCACTGAAACCAACCACCCCTTTAGCCCACACATAACCAGGGCTATAATTAGGTGAGTAGCTATGAGCCAGCAAAAGGGCGGAGCTAATGTAGAGGGGAGAAGGGAGGGTGGATACCAGAGGACAGCGCCCCACCCGTCTATGTTACACCCCCCCACCATATCCACACACAAGCCAGTCATTGGTACAGGAAACCACAAGGCCTCTTTGGGGGATTCCCACCTCTGTAACATGCGTTTGCAGAGGCAGTCAAGGGGGAGAAAGTGAAGTTGTTTTCTAACTGACCCCACTGCCAAACACCTCGATCGCGTTTCCCAAAGGGAACTCGGGAACCCAGTCTCTCGTGGAGGGCCCTCCCACTTTTCCCAAGATGCAACAGTCCTGTCGGCTTTTCAGACCTGTAAATCAGTAGAAAGTGGGGGAGTGGGGAATGGTGAATGACAATAAAATGAAAGTGAAAGGCTGGTAGTAATGAGTAGTGTAACTTACACTAAGCTAGTAGAATTAAGGACTCTAAAACCAGAAACCCCCAAAATATACACATCGAGGAAAATGGTGACAAGTTTGGAGCACCTATAACAGCAGGGACCTTATCTGCCAAGGACCTTAAGGCGCTTTCAGCACGACTGAGTTGGGCTCCCGTCCAATTGCCCTCGGTTTCCCTGTTCCAGCAAAAAACACTGCCACTTACACCTGGTTGGCCCCCTCACTTCACCTGAGATTTTGGGGTAAAGCTCCAGGGGCCCATGAGATGGGAGAGCGCTAACATATGCCGGCAGCGGGTTCTTTCGGGTGATCAGGATCCAGGTCTCCGGCTTCTCCCACTCCTCAAATTTCCAAGTTCCCTTAGGCACCCGCGTGGACCTGTTCTTCTCACAGAGAGTTGCCGGTTCCCGCCCAACATGTGGCCGCCCGGGGCTTCCGGTGGCCGGGAACTGGGGGGAGGGGTCCCCACGCCGCCTTGCGGACCCAGTCCACGTTCGGCCATGCGGCCTTCGACCCCAAGGGCAGCCTCCCTTGGGGGGCACTTCCGGTGCTACAGCTGCCCCCTCCTCAAAGGCCGCGCCGGGCCGAAGCCACGCCACCTCCCCTCCCCCCGCCGGCAGCCAGCCCCCCCTAAATGCCCTCTCACCGAACAGCCCCCTCCCCCACCTCACGTGGCCGCGCGGCGTCTGGTTCTCAACGGCCCGGGTACCCTTGCCCCGGGGGGGGCCAATCTGACCCCCGGCCCTTGCCCCGCCTGGCGGCCTCTCCCGCGTGGTGGCCTCGCGGCTCGCCGTCCCCCACCCTGCGTAGCTCCAACGTCACCCGGCAGGCCTCAACCGTCACCCCGCGCGCTAACCCTGGCGCGCGCCCGCGCCTTTCCGCACCTCGCGCCGCTCGCCGACAGAACCCCGTGCGGCAGCCACCGCCGCTCCCTTCTGTCCCCTCCCCGACCCCCGCACAGTCCCATCTCTACTCCCAGGCTCAAGCCAAGGTTCCGCGCACGCGCGTCCTTCCCGCTCTCACCTCGCGCGAACGCAATGACTCGACGCCGTCCGTTCGCCGCGAGCCCAACCGCTGCCTCTGAGCCCGCTGCCGCCGCCGCCGCCGCCGCCGCTGCTGCACACGGGTCTTAGTACGCAGGCGCCGACTCCCCACTGACCAACCAAGCAGCCCTGTGACAGCCGCGCAAGCGTGCTATCTAGTTTCTCCGCCCACCATCCCCGCACTGCGCAAGCGCACAGACCCTCTCCGAGCTCCACCCTCCCTCCCACCTACCCATCCAACGACGCGTAAATGTGGCCCCGCCCCCTCAGGGAGCCAAAGTTCCGCCCACCAGTACGCAACGCGCAGGCGTACCCGGTTTTTTAATCCCTTTAACCTCCTCTTCCCTCCCCATGACAGACCACTAGCCCTACCGGACAGTCCTTGCGCCTGCGCAATAAGGAGTCCTAAACTCCGCACCCTTTGAAGGAAACGCCTCGACCTCATGGAGCATGCGTAAAGGAAATCTTGACCACCCCTTCTACCTCAGTTGTCGTCGGTACGTAGGACGTTGAAAAGACCACGCCACTGTAGCGCCTGTCTCGACTAGAACGCATGCGTTGTAGGAAACGCCCCACCTTGGATTAAACTCGATTTAAACACTCACACGTTTCAGAAAACTTCAGCTATGGGATGGGCCCCTTGTGTCAAAGCCCATCCCCCATCCCCCGCCCCCCTTCTAGGGCTCCCGTTACACACATGCGCGGGAGAATAGTCTCCGTTTGTCTTCCGGTGGTCGGATTATCACACATCTCGGCTTCAGTTCTCAACGGTACGGCTCTGTTCTGCCATAGAGTTTCACTCGGAAAGATAGAGCGGCCCAGGCCTAGCCACCATCTTGTTTAAAGCCTTGGTCTGCATGGGTCCCCATGGCTCCCATGGAGGCTATTCTACTCCTCAGTAAAGAGACTTACTCGTCATTTTTCTTTTTTCTGCTGTTCTTTGCAGTCTCCAGAACAATTTTGGAGCACCCTTAGAAAATTATGAGAATGTTATGTTAAATTACCCTGACGTCCTGTTAAATTATAGAAGATGACCGTGAAGCTGGAAACAAGCTATCTTTTGGAATGCATGTCCCTGTCCCTCGTTTTAGGAAAGAAAGCTGCTGCTTTTCCTGAAACTTTCTAGTCTCCCTCGTTTCTAGGTTTCCAGCACTACTTTCACAGCTATCTTGTTTGCTTCAGTAAGCTTGGTGAACAATAACAGTACTGTGAAACAAAACAATTAAGTATCCAGGCTTAGCATCCAAAACCCTGAACTTGTTTTTTGTTTTAACGCTCCTGAGACATGATTGATGTGAACTGCAAATATAAGCTTGACTTAATAAGTTTATGTAGCGCATTAAACTATCACCGCCCCTCCCCCAGCTCATTCCACTCAGTTTTCTGGAGTTTCTGCCCTTTGTAAAACAAAGCTTTCTGGGTGCATCATTTAAAAGTTAAAGTGATGATACCTTGGCTGGTATGGTTCAGTGGATTGAGTCCCGGCCTGTAGATGGAAAGGTTACCAGTTCAATTCCTAGTCCGTGAACATTCCAGGTTGCGGGCCAGGTCCCTAGTTGGGGGCATAAGAAAGGCAACTGATCACTGTTTCTCTTGCACATCATGATTCTTTCCCTCTCCTCCCTCCTTTCCCCTCTCGCTAAAAAGAAGTAAATAAAATCTGTACTAAAAAAAAAGTTAAAATGGTAATAATGGTAGAGATTGTGCATGTGTGGGGCAGGAGGTATGTGGGAACTATATGCCAGGTCTGTCTAGAAAAAAAAGTCTAGCCATTGTTAATATAATGAGAATGGTTTTCAAGACATCAATGTAACCTGGCAGCCAAGAATAATGGACTGGAATGCGCTTGTGTGAACAATGACAACTTTACTGTACTACTCAGTGGAGGTGGTAGACCCCGCTGAGTGAGCCTGTGTACCATGTGGCTGTTGCATTCAAAATGACTGAATGAGTAGAGCAATGAATCTGCATCAAATTTTGTGTTAAACTTGAATGTTCCTCTGCAAAAACTATTTGGATGATTCAGAAGGCTTTTGGGGACAATTCAATGAGTGCAGTGCAAATGAAAGTGTGGCACCACCATTTCAAAGATGGTTGAGAATCTGTCAAAAGTGATATAGTTCTTGAAGGCCTACAACAAGCAAAACACCTGAGAATGTTGAATGTGTATGGGCTGCAATCAACAAAGATCAGTGAATGACAATGCAAGAAGTAGAAGCTGATCTGAGGATTCCCAAAACTACTGTGTCTCAGATTTTGATACAGGATCTTGGCATGAATTTGTTCTGTGGCTTCTACTACCACAGCAGAAGGAACATCATGCTGCAGTTGCAAATTACTTGATTCAAACTGTTACCAATGAGCCTTCTGACTTTTCCCAAAACTAAAATCACCTTTGAGCTCTGGCTGGTATGACTCAGTGGATTGAGTGCCAGCCTATAAACCAAAGAGTTATCAGTTCAATTCCCAGCCAGGGCACATGCCTGGGTCCCCAGCAGGGGGCATGCAAGAGGCAACCTCTCTTCTTGCTCCCTGCCCCTCTGTCTTAAAAAATAAAAACAAAATCACCTTTGAAAGGGAAGTTATCAGACCATCAATGAGATTCAGGAAAATACAACAGGGCAGCCAATGCGACGGGTTGGTGATTCCAACAAAGGAATTTGCAGAGTGCTTTGAACAGTAGAAGAGACACTAGGAGAACTGTGGGAGGTCCCAAGGTGCCTACTTTGAAGGGGACTGGGCCATCATTGTCCTATGTACAATGTTTCTTGTATCTTCTTCAGTAAATGTCTCTAGTCTTTATATTACATGGCTGGATACTTTCTAGGGCAGATCTTGTATGCCTTTTGTTGTGAACATAAAACTGCTCTAAAAAGTAAAGTTATATTTGGGGGTGAAGGGTTGGAGCTGGACTGGATGCAAGAGACCAGTGAAGAGCATCTGACAGTAACCCAAGGGAGCACAAATGAAGACCTGGATCAAGGCAGTGGTAGTAGCACTGGGAGGGAAAGATGAGTACCAAAGACATTTTGGAAATCTAACTGATGGGACTTGGTGGTTAATTAATGAGGAAGATAAAGTCAAAGTGTAAGTCACAAGTGCCTTCAGTCTGTGTGACTGGGAGATATAACACAGTGATCAAGACATTCCTGAAGGCAAATGCAGTCATACAGGAACTGGGAAATCCTCTTAAGGTTCTGGGATTCTGAGATTCAAGCTCAGAGTTGGATGAAATGAGCACATTAGTCTCAGAGCAAAGCTGGGCTCAGGAAGGTAGGTAAGAATGGGGACAAACCAGCTATTTTTTTTTGTACTTGTCCCTCATCTGGAAGGTAAAGGGTTCCAGTTTATCAAGAAGAATAGTTTTACATGATTAAAAAGATTCTGCCAAAATTTCTTTATTATGAAAATAGGAGTCCATTGTAGAAAATTTTTGAAAAACATAAAAAAAAAAATTAACCATAAACTCCACACCCAGAGGCAACTGCTATTAATGTTTAAACATATTTTCCTCCAAACTTTTTCTATGTCTTAAAAAAAATACATCTGAGATCATAGTGAACTGTCTCTGTGTTGCATGTGAAGGTAAATTAAGTCATCTTAAGTCATCTGATAGAAAGAATTCCCAGGTAGAAAAAGAACAGGCATAGGTTGGGGTTGAGGTGGGGGTTCTCTGTGGTACAAATATTTCACAGTGAATTGATCCGTATCTAAGGGACCTAGGCAGGGACTATTCTTCCTTCCACCCTCTAGGGCTTGCATAAAAGTCAAACACATCAAATGGACCTTGAGAATAAGCAAATAGGTGACTCTTCAGGGAAGGGTGGATAGTCTTAAACCTGTCCTCACAGTGCTCTGCTGCTGGGATCATAGCAAAAATCTAGACTGCACTCACTCATCCATTCACTCAGTTAATATTTACTGCGCTTAAGTACTAGAGACTTGGGATATAAGGAGGGTGAGCTTGATAGTATGATCTGTGCCCCATGGTTGGGGGGGTTGGGGGGAATTTTCAGATAATAAATAAATATCTAATGTTGGTCTGTGTGCTCAGGCCAGTACCTAGGTACCACCAATGAATGATGGGTTTATAAATGAGAGTTGACAGAAGAGGAGGAGGACCACCCTGAGGATGCCTGAGGATCTTTGTGATTTTGACTTTGCTTCTTTGGAAGTTAAAACAAAAAAAAAAAAGATGGTGTGGGTGAAGAAGAAGGAGACTTCTTATCCTGGAGGAAAACCCTTATCAAAAAGTCCTCCCTACCCTCCATTCCCAGAGGCCTTGTTCAACCTGGATGGTAGAGAGAAGTCAGACAGTTTCTTAGAAACTGGATCAAGTGAGTAGGAGTAAGGCTGGCGGAAGACTATAGACCCAGCTCATAGAGGAAGGAAACTCAATAAGCCAATCACAAATGACTATATAGTGTTGACTATGATGATCCATTTGCTCATTCATTCACTCTCCAGGTGGTCACAGAAGGCTTGCTCTGTGTCAGGCCATATGGCCAGTCGGGAGAATTCAAAGCTAGCCAGGCAATTGCAGAAAAGTGTGATGCAGCCCATCGCAGAGAATGTGGGTTTGAGTGAGCACCACGATGGAGCCAAAGCCAGCCTGGAAGCCTGGCAGGTCTTTTAGCAGTGGAGGCATCAAAGCTGAGGATTTCTGAAGAAGGACCAGCTCTGAACAGGGCAAGGAAGGGTCTGGGAGTTCTGTGGGCAAGAGATAAAGAAACATTAGCTAGGCCCTGGCCAGATAGCTCAGTTGGTTAGAACATTGCCCCAATATATCAAGGCTGTAGGTTTGATCCCCAATTAGGGCACATACAAGAAATAACCAATGAATGCATAAATAAGTAGAACAACAAATCAATGTTTCTTTCTCCCCCTTCCTCTATCTAAAAACCAATCAATAAAATTTTTAAAGTGTTTTCCGTAAGATTTTTTAGTGATTTTATTTATTCACTTTCAGAGAGAGGGGAAGAGAAGGAGAAAGAGAAGGAGAGAAGCATCAGTGTGTGGTTGCCTTTTGCACACCCCTTACTTGGAACCTAGCCAGCAACCCAGGCATGTGCCCTGACTGGGAATTGAACTGGCAACCCTTTGGTTCACAGCTTGCGCTCAATCCACTGATCTACACCAGCCAAGGCTAAATAAATATTTTTTAAAAAGAAAGAAATGTTAGTTGGATATCAACCCTGCACTGTGGGCTCTCCTATAGGGAGATGAAAGCTCAGATTGTTTATGCATCAGTTTGGCAACCAATGATACATAGGAGAACTAGTAATTACTGTTTTGTTTTAGAAGGTCCAGACATGTAATAAAAATAGTCTTCAAATCAAGAGGAACTCTATTTGAGAAACCACTTCTGGGGAGCCTAGTCTGCACTTGGACCTGATTTAGAGGATGAGGTCTGAAACTCCTGATGCCATATGGATTGAGACTTTGGAGTTCTTAGGGAGGGTGTAGTACATTTTGCATATGGAAGTAATGTAATTGTTGTGGTCAGATGGCAGGTTACCCTATATTATCCAAGGATTGTCACAGTAGCATTTCTCATCTCACATGCTCTTAACCTGTGAGTTTGCCATTCCCCATCAAAAGGTCTGATGGATCTGGGCAGGCTTATGTCTGTTTTGGCCAAGGGATTGTTGAAGAAGATGGGAAAGTGTAGTCCTAGCACAGTGGATGGAGGTTGGTGACTTGGAAATTGGGCTCTGGTATTAGGCTGATCTGCATTTGAATCCCAGCTTAGTATGTTCCTCAGTGGTGTAAGTTTAGGATGGTTGCTTCACTTGACTATATCTCAATTTCCTTATCTGAAAAACTGGGAAAATTAACATAGTATCCACTTCCCAGGGTTGTTGTAAGGACTAAATGACTGAAGGCATCTAATATGCATAGAATGGTATATGGCACATGATAAATGCTCAACAAATATTAGCTCTTACTGTGGTATTTTGTTACAGTAGGTTAAAAAAACAAGGAAGGATGTTTCAAAGGAGGTAGTAAGTAATATCAGATATGGTAGATAGGACAAGGAGGTAGAGGGTGGAAAAAGATCAAGGATTTGGCAGAGTGCTAGCAGAGCCTAGAAAGAAGGGAAGACAAAGGTAAGTAATGGTAGCTAAAGAATAGATGGGAAAAGAGAAGATGGAGGCTGTAGGTATCAATACTCTCTCCACAGCAGTTGAGAAATGACAGAGCAGAAATTCGGAGAAGTAACCTCCGATTTGAACTGCAAGAAGAAAGTTGGAAGGGAAAGTTGTTGGGAATATTTGGTACTAGTGGACTGAGGGGACACCACCTTTTAAATCTTTCAAATATTATCTCAGTTTGATACCACAAATCTCCACTTTTGCTGTGCTAAGCCTAGACATCAAGGAGAAACTTTTCTACAGATGAGGAATGGACACTAAAGAATGACCCCTTATGGGAATGTGGTGATATAACTCAGCAAGAAATGGTTGGAAGGAGAAAAAATGGAGCTGAGATGTGGGCATGTCGCATTTCAGAAAGAGAGTCTAACAGAGGTGGGAATACCCTGGCTGGCGTGACTCAGTGGATTGAGTGCCGGCCTGTGAGCCAAAAGGTCACCAGTTTGATTCTCAATCAGGACGCATGCCTGGGTTGTGGGCTGGGTCCCCAGTTGGGGGCATGCGAGAGGCAACCGATTAATGCTTCTCTTGCACATCGATGTTTCTCTCCCTCTCTGTCTCCCTCCCTTCCACTCTCTCTAAAAGTAAATAAATACAATATTTAAAAATAAAAGGAAAAAAAGAGGAAGGACTCAGGGCTGGAAACATGGGTTTAAGAGCCAGCCATCAGCCCTGGTTGGTGTGGCTCAATGGATTGAGTGCCAGCCTACAAACCAAAGGGTCACCAGTTTGATTCCTAGTTTGATCCCAGGCACATGCCTGGGTTGCTGGCCAGGTCCCCAGTGGGAGGCACGTGGGAGGCAACCACACATTGATGTTTCTTTCCCTCTTTTTCCCTTCCCCATCTCTCTAAAAAATAAATCTTAAAAAAAAAAAGAAGGGACATTAATAAAGAGAGAAGAGAGAGAGAAGGGATTGTAGACCATTGCTAAAGCCAACTCAGTGGAGTTGGTGAGGTGTGAAAGAAAGATTAGGGAGTAGAGAGTCAAGACTGATTTCAAGAAGTTTGGTGTTAAATTAATGGAAATGTACTACTGGGCAATAGTTAAGGAGGCAGGGTGGGGCTTTTTGTTACAGTGACAGGAGAGAGTGAGACAACTTCAGGTGGGCAGGAGCAAATGAAAAGACAGTGACAGAAAGCAGGAAGCCTTTTTCCCTAGAATGCCTGGAACCCATAAAAATATTTAAATAACCAGAAAATTATGTGCACAAACTCTTCAACTGAACAGGAAAATTAATTGCATTTCTCTGTGGCATCTGCTAATTCTTACCCACGGGAATAGAGAACATGTAACTGTTGTACGTACACGTGTTGTTTCATGGTTCAGAGGCCTTGGGAGTACTTTTCCCTGCAGTATCCCCACCCCCGGTCTCCTAGCCAATTTTTATTCGTACTACAAATAGGGCTCACCCTTCCCACGAGCTTCCTCTCATTTCACCCGTAAAACTTACAGTTAAACTTAGTCTACACCTGAACTCTTTCTGTACCTTCCATGAGATTTTTTTGTTACCGGAGACATGTTGTAACTATCTTGCTTGCTTTTCCCCAGCCTTGGTCTCCTGTTTCTGGCATCCTTTGAGCTTAGGGGTGGACACAGGTAAATCGGTCCTTAACAGGTTAAAGAAGGGTAGTCAATTCTGTATCTTTCACCGCCTCGCCTTGTGATTTAGCTGTTTTCTCATCTTTTCTTTTCTTTTTTCCTGGGAAACAGAACTCCGAAACTGTGGGGTGAGAGGGGCACACGATTAAGTAACAGCAAGGAAGCCGGTGCAGGAGGCCCCCGGTAATGGCCAGGAGAGGGCGCTCCAGGACAGGGATTGGCGGCGGCGGCTCCTGCTGCCTGTTGGTGGAGAGCTGAGGGCCCTGTCTGGCAGGGGACACCTGGACTAGGGAAGCGCACGTGGAGAGGAGCGGCGCGTGGGGGCACGTGTGCTGCCCCGGGCTCTCTGTCCTAGCTAAAAATACGAGCTGCCCAACGCGACCATGTCCTCCCTGGGTCGTGGAGGCGGCCCTCGGGAGGAGCGACTTCTGGAGCCGCGTTATTCTGGAAGGGAGATTGCGCCTCCCAGGACGGACCTCCCGGGTTCCTGAGAACCCGAGGCAGGCTTCCCACTAGACCCCAGTCTTCTCATCTGTGGAATGGGAACCATTTTTTTAAAATAAGAAATATGGAGAGCCTTTGTTGTGTCTGGCACTGTTCCAGGCGTCAGAACTGTTATTGCTGTGGAGTTCACAGTCTAGCGTTGCGGAGGGAATGGGGGAAGGGGATAGGGAGGCTGGGGAATAGAATAAAGAAGCAAAAGAACAAACAGGATGCTCTCATATTTTCAAAAATGCCATGAGAAAAATAAAGGATGATGTAATAGAAGTGATATGTAAGCTGGTATTTGAAGAAGTCACCCTGGGAGACACAGAGGGCACGTCTAGGCAGAGGAAACTACCTGTGCAAAGGTCTTGAGCCTGGCTAGTTGGAGAAAAGAGAAGGGAACGGCCAGGGCGAGGGAGGCCCCGCCTCACCGGAGATCACAGCGCCCAGCACGACTGACCCTGAAACTGCTCTAGGGTGATAGACATCAGAGGGCGAAGGAAGAATAGCTTGATTAGGGTACTGACTACCTGGATTAACATGTTTATCAAACTCAGTGAAGAGCTGTGCATTTTGTTTGTATGTAAATTTTACCTTAAAAACAAAAGGTGAAAGTCCCCGGCTTGTGAAAGCAACCGTGAGCTAGGAAAGTCGTTCTGTGTCTTCCAGCTTGAAGCACGCAAATACTGCAGTCGGGGCTCTGTAGGCATCCTCTAGAGAGAGGGTGGGGGCAGGCAGGGGGAAGGCATTCACACCCAAGCAGCATACGAGCCAGGGCGGTCTCGAGGCCAGACAGAGACTGCTGAGTCCCGGCCCCGACTCAGGTCGTTAGGGGCAACCTTGGAGCTGCCCACCCTACCCCGCCCTTCGCGCCGAGGCCAGGTGGCGGTTGGGGCGCCACCAGCCCGTTTGATTTCCCGCGGCCGGTGGAAAGGGGCGGGGGGAGGGGAAAGGGGCTGTGGACCAATGGGTGGGGCAGTGTACAGTCACGTGTCAACCTCGGGGCGGGGCCCAGGTGTACTTACGGGGCGGTGGGCGAGGGCCTCCGCCACGACTCGAGGTCCGGGAGGCGGGGCGGGCGTGTGGGTTGGGGGCTGCTCTGCTAGGATTGGCCTGTGGCCAGCAGGCGGGGCCTGCGCGCGCTGCGGCTGCAGGCTGCGATTGGCCTGAGTTCTGGGCCCGCTGTCGGCTTGCGGGCGAGCTTCGGGGCGCGAGGACCTAGTGGGGTGGTGGGTTCGCGAGCCGGGGGGAGAGGCTGGGGCGGTGGCGGCGGCGGTGGCGGCGGAGGAGGAGGTGGTGGCGGCGGGGGCCGGTACTGGACCCGGCGGGATGAGCGAGGTGGAGGCTGCAGCGGTGGCGTCAGCGGCCCCCGCGGCCACGGTGCCCACGACGGCCGCAGGGGTGGTAGCGGTGGTGGTACCAGTGCCGGCGGGGGAGCCACAGAAAGCAGGCAGCGGGGCGGGCGGCTTCGGGGTCGGAGCTGCCTCGGGCCCAGCTGCTGGGACCCCATCAGCGCCGGGCCCCCACACCCCTGGCAACCCGGCGACGGCGGCCTCGGGAACCCCCGCGCCCTCAGCCCGGAGTCAGGCGGACAAGCCGGTGCTGGGTGAGGGGGGGACGCGTGCCAGGGCGGTTCTAAGGGGGTGGGCGGGCTGGGTGAAGGGCGTCGTGGAGCCCGGGGGCGGTCCAGAAAACCGAAGGCGGGCCTGGCCCGGAGGCTCAAAGGACTAGCTGGACTAGGGGCAGAGGACCCTACTGGGTTTCTCTAGTGGGAAGTCCTGAAGTGCCTTCCTGGGCGGGAGGGCGTGGTAAGCAGGTCCAGCTAGGGCCTTGGGGTGGAGAAAAAGCCTCAGGGTCTGGCCACGCCCCCAGGGCGGGAGACTTGGCCTAGGTGACTCAGGTTAGTACCAGGTAAATCTCTAAGCCTGCGAAGCAGGTGCACTGGGGACCCTTTAAGACGGCTAGAAAACTCCTCAGGTATGACCTGAGGGCCACCCTTTGTGGACCAGGTGAGTATGCGATCCTAGCTGAAAGGTCTGGATTTGTAGGCTACCACGAACATGTCTTAGAGTTGGAAGGGTTTTGAAAGCCTGAGCTTCGCTGTGTGGGCGCTTCCATTTGAAGCTAAGCTTACTAGACAATAGGGAGGTAGGTTAGGTTTTGGAGTTTCTCAAAACTGAGTCCAGCTCCATCTCTTCCCCCATCTTACTGTCCCTACTGCATCTCTGCCTGGCAGCAATCCAGGTCCTGGGCACTGTCAAATGGTTCAACGTCCGGAATGGTTACGGATTCATCAACAGGTATCTGAGGAACTCAGGGAGGGTGTGGAATGGGTGTCTTCCAAACTGGCCTGTGGGACTGGACACCTTCCCAACCTCATTTCTACCCTGGCCAAGGCACATGGTTGCAGTCTCCAGCTGACACTGATCGAAAGTCTTTAAATGGTAGCACAAATGTGGGCAAGATGATGTTCCTCATCTTCAAGGGCAGCAGAGGGTTGATTTAGGAAGTTGGCAAACCTGGCTCTGACCCTCCCAGCTCGTTTGTCTCACCTTCTAGTTTAGTTTGCCTCACCTTTGGGGCAGAATGTACCTGCTCTGCACCCCAGAGCTCAGGCCTCACTCATTTCCTCTTTAGGGCAGCACATATAGCATTCTTATAATTCATCTTCCTTAGAAAGTTATTGGCTCATTTGAACCCTCCCACCTGATGAGACTGAGGCTGGTGGGGGTTGGGGAAGGAGCCAGCCCAGTCAGAGGCTGCTGCTTTTCTTCTCTTTGGCAGCCTTACTCCCTCCAGGCACTGGGAGGGGCCCTAGCGGCAGATTCTGAGCAAATCCAGGTCTTCCCCTATGGGCTCTTCCCCAGCCAGGGCACCTTGCCCAGCCCAGACCTCCTGGGAGGCCCTAGTTCCCTCTTAGCAGACTGACCTTTGTGCAGATCCAAGTGCTTTACAGCTAGAATATTTGTTCTAGGGAAGGGCTCTTCTCTAATTCTGGAAACTGAGGACTCCTGGGAGGTTCTGAAGGAAAGCCTCTCCCCTCCCCCACATTGGGGTGCTGGGATAAACTGGGGTAATAGGCAAATAGTAATAGAGAATGATGGGATATTATCCTCTCTCACCCTTGGTCCCTTGGTGTGTTGAAAGAGGGCCTCACTGTGGGCTTCATCTCCTGGTTGAGGCTGAGAATAAAGTTTGGGGGCTGTTTAGAGCAAGTTCTTGACATATTGTCCCTATCTCAAACTTGTTCTGCACCTTTTCCCCATCCCCACTTTCTCGCTCCTCCTTGACTCTAGAAGGAAGGAGTCAGGAGCGGAATTTTCTTTCCTTAAGATTTTATTTATTTAGAGGGGAAGGGAAGGAGAAAGAGAGGGACAGAAACATCAATGTGTGGTTGCTTCTCACACACCCCTACTGGGGACCTGGCCTGTAACCCAGGCATGTGCCCTGGCTCGAAATGGAATCAGCGACCCTTTGGTTCACAGACCATGCTCAATCCACTGCGTTACACCAGCCAGGGCAGGAGCGGAATTTTCCAACAGTGATGGGGGTTGGGGAAGAGGAGGTATTGACTAGGGACAGTTACACCCAGCACTACCAGGTTCCAAGTGGTAGAGGATGGAGTGCTCAGTGCCTGCAAGGTGAATTTGCCTTCCCCCTGCACCCTTTCTTCATGAAGTCCAGGTTTTCCACTGAGGTCTTAGGTATACTTCTCTTCGTATCAGCTTCTGGGGGTCTTGTCAATCTCCAAGCTGCCATGGAAGGCTGGAGAGGATGAGCCTACTGATTTTAGGACGAGGCAGCTAGGGAGCCCTCGGGGGAGGTGAGTAACTCACCAAAGCCACCCCCTAACAATGCATCCTGTTCTGCAGGAATGACACCAAGGAGGATGTCTTTGTTCACCAGGTAAGAGCTAGGTTGGCTTTCTGAGGGGAGGAAACTGCCCTCTCTTCAAAGACTTTTGCCATGATTCTTAGCAGCACAGATCGTGCTTCTCCAGCTTCTCCAGCTCGTGCTTCTTCACCCCTTTGACCTCAACAGCATGCCCACCAGGAAATAGTTTCCCTCCCTGTCTGCATCAGGTGCCTGAATTACTGCCATTGGCTCCACTTGTGATGGGTTGTCTCTCTAAGAAATATTTGTGTTGCCCCCTGGGCACGGCATACTCAGTACCTACTGGAACATGTTAACACCAGGGGAGTGAATCACAGACATTGTTCAGAGAAAAGGACACAGGCTTCAGATACTTGAGTGCAGTGGTTCTCAAAATGTGGCCCCTGCACCGACAGCATTGCCTGACATCCAAAATCTCTGGCCCCAGACCTACTGATGGAATCAATCAGGCTTGGGGGAGGGGCTGGTGATCTGTTTTAACTAGCTCTCCAGGTGATTCTGATGCAGGCCACAGCTCTGGAAAGAGCTCTCAGTGGGATTGAGGTAAGCAGTGCAGTACATTTTACCCACTTTGCAGTTTAAGACTGTCTCTGCTTTTTTATTCTGAGCTCATGTTTCTTGCCTCCCCTTTTAAAATCCCTGAGGGGTAAAGGGAGGAGGGGGTGTGTTCTGGAGACAGTGGTAACTACAGAATCATTCTTGAGGCCCCTAGTTTATGGCTTTCCCCCTATTAACTCGGACTACCTTCTCGTTGCTCCACCCTCCAGCCCTAGCCCACAAGTAAAATGGTGAAAAGAATAAAATTGGGTGGTGGGCCCAGCAGGGGTGAGAGAGACTAGTCCTCACCTTTCTCATGGCCTTTCCCCTAACCAGACAGCTATTAAAAGAAACAACCCCAGGAAGTTTCTGCGCAGCGTTGGAGATGGGGAGACTGTGGAGTTTGATGTCGTGGAAGGAGAGAAGGTTTGGGGGCTGTGGTGGGATATAGAGTGGGAGGGTGGCCTGGATGTCGTCCCAGGCTTTGCCCCTCCTGAGGCCAGCTCCTTCCTCAGGCTCATCAGCCCAGAGTGTGTTCTCAGGCAGATGTCATCTTTAACACCTGGGCTGCTCTAAGGGACGTTCTAAAGAACAAGTCCCTGTTATCACTTAGTAGTTAATATCTGGGTTTCTTTGTAGTTCAAGCACATGTCTGTTCTCCACTTGGGACCCTGTTCACAGGCTCTGAGTCAGCCCTCTTGTAAGATGGACAGTTGCTGCCAGACCTTTCTCCATCCACACCCCCCACCTCCCATCTTAAGCTCAAGAGGGCCCAGTAGCAGCTATTTCAAAAGGACAAGTTGCAGAGGAAGACCCTCCTAGAAGGGTCCAAACACACCATTGCCCCTCTGGGGGAGGGTGAAAAGAAGTTAGAGGGGCTGAAGTTAGAGAAAGCTGAAGAGAGGATTCAGCTGGAAGAAGGAGGAGACTAATGATTAGAGCCACTTTGGGAATGTTGTGTGTTTGTTGTTGGAGCAAGTTCTCTCCACCCCTTTTCCAGGGTGCAGAAGCTGCTAATGTGACTGGGCCTGGGGGCGTGCCAGTGAAGGGCAGCCGCTATGCCCCCAATCGACGTAGGTTCCGCAGATTCATCCCCCGACCTCGCCCAGCTGCTCCACCGCCCATGGTGGCGGAGGCTCCATCAGGTGGGACAGAACCAGGCATCGAAGGGGAACGAGCTGAAGACCCTGGGCAAAGGCCCAGACGACGGCGCCCACCACCCTTCTTCTACCGACGTCGCTTTGTGCGAGGCCCAAGGCCCCCCAACCAGCAGCAGCCTATAGAGGTGAGAGGGGAACTGGGAATGTAGAACCAGCTACCCACATCCTAGGAAAGGCCTGGGAGCTGGTGGAGAGAGAGATCACAGGGTCCCCAGAGGAAGTGGAACCCAGGGTTGAGAAGAACTGTGGACACCTGGGTCCTGGGAAGCTGCTGTTACCCCAGCTCACCAGGGCCTCTGTATGTTCCCAGGGCACTGATGGGGTAGAACCTAAAGAGACAGACCCATTGGAGGGGGACCAACAGCAGGGAGATGAGCGGGTCCCTCCACCCAGATTCCGGCCCAGATACCGAAGGTAAGACTTCCTTTATAGGGTCCTTCTTTTCCAGGCCCTACCTTTCCCTTCACTGTCCAGTATTGGACAGGGGTGGTAGGTATAGGGATATGGGAGGGGTAAGGAGGATGGGAAGGGGAAGAGCTAAGCTCTCAGACACGCCTGAAGCTAGTGATGTAGGAGATGGGGAGGGGAGCTGAGAGGTCACTGCATAGGTGCTCTGGGGAAGCAGCTCCTGGGGCTGAAAGCTTGGCTCCTGGGGGTGGAGTGGGGGATGGGGAAGCTGGCTGGTTCACCTCTCCTGGGGAGGTCCTGGGAGGAAGGGAGAGAGGTAGTCTATACAGGGCTTCCCACACCCTTTGGTGTCCACACTTCTCTCCCCAGGCCTTTCCGCCCCAGGCCACCCCAGCAGCCTACCACAGAAGGTGGGGATGGCAAGACCAAGCCCAGCCAAGGTTCCTCTGATGGTTCCCGGCCTGAGCCCCAGCGCCCACGAAACCGCCCCTACTTCCAGCGGCGACGGCAGCAGCCCCCTGGACCCAGGCAGCCCACAGCCCAGGAGGTGAGGACCTCATTTGGACTGTCAATCTACTGTGGCACCAACTTCCCCCTCTCCTTTCTTTCCTCTTTCCCTTCTCCCCCTCCCCATATTACTCTATCCTTCTGTTCCCACATCCCCTGCCCCCACCCCCTTTCATGCAGCCTGACACTAGAGTCAGTACTGCTGGGTGCACCACTGGCAGTTCCCCCCATTCACCAGGAAGCCCCAGCAGAGGCAGTTTATCCTGTGTCAGCCCCTGCAGACACCCTTCTAAGCTCTGCTTGAGCCACAACACCAGCTATGGATGTAAACCGAGGGAGGAATGGGAAGAGAAGAGGTGGGAGAGTGTTGAAATTGGAGGACTCTAAAGAACAAGAGAGTCTCAACGACCACCCTGTTCTCTCTAGACCTCAGCCGCCATCAACAGTGGGGACCCCCCCACCACCATGCTGGAGTGATTCCAACTCAAGGACACCCAGAACTACCATCTGGTGAATGGCTGCTCTCTGAGAGGGCCCAGGGTGGGGAGCCAAGAGGGCGGGGAACAGGGTCCTGATAACTTACTAATCATGACTTGTCCTTTCTTCTCTCTCAGGTATCTGCCAGTTTTTCCAACTGACCTGCACCCTACCCAGCACCCCTCTGCCCCCTTTCCCATAATTCATGACATCAAAACACCAGCTTTTCCCCGTTTTCCATGAGACTCAGGAGGGCCAAAGCAACAGCATTTTTTTTTCCTCTCTCCCCTACCAAGGGTTGAAGGAAGGGATCCATGCTTTTTGTTCAGAGGCATCAACTCCCTCCCCTAAATCAGGCTGAGAAGAAACCAGCCAGCTCTTACCTCCTCCTGGTTGTTTTTCTTTCCCACCCCAGTTTATTTTTTGTTTCCCCTCTACTCGCTCCTTCTGAAGCCATTTTATGAACTGTCATGTGCCACCTGAGCCTCCAGTAAAACCAAAAACAGGCTTTCTTGTGTCTTGGTCTCTGCCTCTTTTCTGTTCAGCAAATCACTGGTAACTTGCTGGTGAACTTGGGGAGGAGGAGAATGTGCGGGGGGGCGGCAGTGGGAGGGGCCTGGTTGTGAACCCTGTCCCCATGTTTCTACCTGCGGAGCTCTGAGCAAGTGTTCTCATCCCTGTGAGAGCCACCTCCCCATCTGTAAAATGGGGATAATATGTCCCCTGCAGAGGAGTGTTCTGTAAAGTGCTGAGAGCGCAGTCTGCTACTTGTACCTACAGCTTATTAGCATTTACTGCTAATTAAAGCAATGACTAGAAATATAAGTGGGGGCATGAGTGATAGCACCAGAGGATCCTTTGACCTAGGGCTGAGGTGGGACAGAGGGAGGGAGAGAGGGGAGGGGAAGTTATGGTCCCCGAGCCCAACCTTCAGTGCCTCCACAACAGGACACTCATCTCATACAGTGATTTTATATATGTATCTGTATATTTACATTTAGTACAACAGACTTGGTTTCTTCTCCCTACCCCTTTTTCAAACAATACAAAAATATCTGAAGATTCCTCCCAGCCCAGTGTTTACAGGCAGCCTTTCAAATCTCTTTCCCTTAGTTGGTCAAAAGCCTATGGATACAACACCCTTCTAGAATGGGAGAGGAGGGAAGAGTTGGGGCCTTGGGGCACAGTCAGGGTACAGCCCAGAGCCCTAGGTTTAGAGGCAGGAACTTGCTGTCCCTTTCTTTTACCACGTGTGGGCAGGTGTTCCCTCCCGCCCTAGAAGGTTGAGCAGGAGGACTGAGCCTGCAGTGAGAGGTGAGGTTAAACATTGGGAAGGTGCATCCTTTGCCTTGGAGGGGTCCAGAGAGCCCTCTTCACCCAGAGTCTATGTGGCAAGAACTCAGAGAAAGTGCCAGAGAGTAGGAGGAGTCCAAGGTGACAGGAAGTTGTTTCCCTTCTCCATTCCTGCTCTGTACTTCAGTTCACCCACACTAAAGTCAGTTGTAGAGCCTCTCCTCCAATCCCTCTTCTCTAGCAGAGGGGAAAAAGTAAATTCTGGAGCTGAGGCAGGATGGGGGTGAATTATGGAGAAAGTAGGAGGTGGGCAAAAGGGGAGAACGGCCCACCCTGATGACCACAGCCTACCCATAACATATAAATAATCCAAGAGTCACACAAGGGGAAAGAGGGGGTGCTCAGACTACACCCACCCTCCAGCTTTCCAATTCCACCAGGCTGCAGGGGCTTTCTCCACCCCAGAAGTGATGGGGAAGAGAGGGTTAAAGTGCCACAAAGGAAAGGAGGGGGTTCCCGGGGGCATGGAGAGGACTGGCTCTCCTACCCCTGCCTGTCCCCTCAGTCATTCTCGTCTGGCCCTAAGTACTCAAGCTCTGTGCTGGGCTTCACCTCCTGCTCTAAAAGAGAGGGTGTCCGACGGAAGGCAGCTGAGATCTGGTCAAACGTCCGGCCTCGGGTTTCAGGCACTCTTAAGAAGGTGAAAATGAAGAAGCCGAGTAGGAGGACAGCAAATAGAAGGAAGACGTAGGGACCCATAGCATCCTGGGATAGGCAGAGAAAGAGGTGTGACAAAGGGGAGGGGAAGGGCAGTCTCAGGAACTAAAGTCTCTCATAGGGAGCCAGGATACTGCAGAGGGCAGGTGGCTGCTTTTCAGGGCAATGGAAATAACCAGGAATGAGAATTTAGTGAAAAACTGATCCTCTGAACCCCAATTCTCCTATAGTTTTTCACCCTTTTACCATCCTGAGTTGCTACACTCAGAGTGGACTCCCAGCCATTCACTGTATTAATATGAAGTTTATAATTTTATTCCTAGTCTAAATAAATTATGCCACTAGTTTGTTTTGAAGACACCTCTGTTGCTTTGTGACCTAGTTCAATTCCTTTCTTTTGATTCTGGTGGAGTGGGTGGTCTTTAGGGCCCACATCATCTACCAATAGACCAGCAGGGATAGGGAGGTGCCTGACTGGAAAGCCAATGTGCTAGCCGAGAGTTGTCCCCCTCTGGCCTATGGTTGTGGGAGAGTGGACAGGAGCAGGCCACCTACCGCAACATACTGGAAACACATGCCAATGAGGAAGTTGCACGTCCAGTTGGAGAAACTGGCCACAGCCATGGCTGCTGGGCGGGGTCCCTGGCTGAAGAGCTCGGCCACAATGAACCAGGGGATGGGGCCAGGACCAATCTCGAAGAATGCCACAAAGCCGAAGATGGCCACAATGGAGACATAGCTCATGGCTGGAACCCGCTCCTGGGGACCAGGCAGGGAGGGTGGGAATTCAGGTCAGATCTCTCTGGATCTTTCTTTGTGCTCAACCCAGAGAACTGAAATCAACCCCTCCCAGCAGCTCATGGGGAGGGAGGCTGCTACCCTCAGTTAAAACAGGCTCTTGAGCACTTCTGAACACTGACATTCAGCTGACTGCCTGGTGCTGATTCGAAGCAGAAGGAATATTATGGACTCTCAGCTATTAATATAATCAATTCCCAAAGACAAGAAAAAAAATAATAGAACAACAAAAACAACAGCAGCAACAACAACAACAACAACAACAACAACAACAAAAAGGTGATCAGTTTCCCATGGTTCTAAAGCTGGGTCCTTAGGAATTATTGCTCCCAGGGCTGGACAGCAGCTCTCCCTCCTGGCTGCCAGAGTTGTGCTGCTCTACCGCTTCCCCCCAGTGTGGGAGGAAGTGCTGCCTGGGTCCTTTGGGAGCACAGACCACGGTCCTAGCATGCAGGCTCACTCCAGGATCAAGGGCACATATGTTGCGGAACAGCCCTGACTGGACACAGAGCCTCTTGGGGAGGTCCCCATGGGTTGGGCAATCGGTCACCTTCCTACTCCCAGGCCTCACCAGCAGAAGCAGAGCCACAGTCATCAAGATGGCGCAGCCACACATTCCTGCCAGGCCCAGAAGATGGAGGGTCCGGCGCCCAGCCCGCTCCACCAAAAGCACCTGTGGGGAGAGTCAGGGCTTGGCAGGGGGCTTCAGGGCATGGGATGTGGGAGGGATTGGGTGGGTGGAGACAACAAAGGGATGTGAAGCCAGTGGTGATAGCCATTCCAGAGGCCAGCAGTTACCGAGACCAAGGTGAAGATGGTGTTGACCACACCAGCTCCTATGGTGGCATATGCTGGCTGAGTCACCCCCGCCGTCTCAAAAATGCTGGTTGAGTAATAGAAAACCTAGAAGTGGGGGGCAAGAAAAGGGATGGCAGGGATGTCCGTCCCTCCCCTGCAGGCACACCAAGCTGGACTCACCCTGAGTTTTAAGGGAGTTGGGCTTGTTCCCTTCTCCTCTCCTCTAGGGCTGTTCCCTAACCCTGTCCTTCCTGGAGGCTGTGGCATACATACGGCATTGATGCCTGAAAGCTGCTGGCTCAGCTGCAGCACAACTGCAATGATTAGGGGCTGCCGGTGGGTACGGCTTCCCAGGAGCTGCAGCAGGGATAGTGGCCGCTCTCGCTCCAGCTTCCGCTTCTCCTCCTTCAGCTCAGCCAGTGCTCCAGACACATCGGCCCAGCCTGTCAGGCGCTTCAGACCTGGAGGTGAGGGGGGTCAGGCCTGAGAGGACAAGGAGAAGGTCTGGGAGGGGGATAGGCACTAGCAAGATTAGGTAGAAGCTCACTCCTTTTGGCAGGCCCCTCCAGGTTCCGGATGATGTAGAGGTAGCGGGGGCTCTCTGGGCAGAAGGGAAGCAGGATCATCTGCATGAGGGCAGGCAGGATTGTGATGCCCAGGAGTAGTGGCCATAGGGTGGCAGTGCCCAGCATGGACTCTAAGCCCAGCACCTGTGAGAGAAGAAAGGCAGGCCATTCAGCCTGTTTCCCACAGCCCCTCCCCAAGCCCCTCCCTTCTCTATCTCCACCCCGGTCTCCCCTCCCCCTCTAAACCCCAACAAAGAGCGGGGGACCTTGCTGGCTTCTGCCTGGAAAAGCCATGCTTAGGGGATAGGGGCCAGAAAGTGGTGTGAGGGGCAGTGGCTGTGGTGGCCTCTCACTGGTGGCACAGACTGACTCCAAGGGTGGGTCCTATCCTCCTATGAGGCCAGTCCCAGTCACCTGGGCAATCAGAATGCCAATGACGATAGCTAGTTGGTTGAGTGTCCCCAAGGCGCCCCGCAGGTGAGTGGGGGCAATCTCCCCCACGTACATGGGCACCAGCCCCGACGTCAGCCCTGTGCAGAGGGAAGAAGAGAGGGCTGAGGCAGCTGCACGCTCCTTCCCACCAAACCCAGGATGGTGAAAGAGAGCAGGGCACTGGGCAGGGCCATGGTGCCTGTGGGTACCTGAGTAGGCACCAATGAGGAACCGTCCAAGGATGAGCATCTCATAGGAGGCAGCAGCGTTGGCCAGGCCCATGAGGGTGCCCCCCAGCACTGCCAGGGCATTGTTGACCAGCATCGCCCTCTTCCTGGCAGGCAGAGAGTGGGGCTGTGAGAGTTAGGGTGCCTGTGCTGTGGCTCCCTTCCTGTTCCCTACCCTTGTCCTTCAGGCCCCGTACCTTCCCAGCCACTGAGAGATGATGCCAATGAGGAAGGAGGAGACCATGCCGCCCACAGAAAAGATGGCCACGGAGAGAGCCCAGAGGGTTGTGAGGGTGCCTGGGGGGATGGAGCCAGGTCCCTCTGGCCCCTGTCTCCCCAGCCACGTCTCATTGTAACTCTGTTCGATCACCTGGGGAGACAGCAGAGGAGTGAGTTCCCACAGACCCTTCCCTCTCTTTTCATCCCTACTGTCCCCTGCCTTCCTTGTTTGGGCACCCCCAATCTATCAGCCACAAGACCCTCACCTTCTGTGGGGCATTGATGACCCCAATGTTGTAGCCAAACTGCAGGGAGCCAAGTACAGCAGAGAACACCGCGAGGACCAGGGTCCCAGTGACTCGCTGCTGAGGGGGTTCCCCTTCCTGGGCAGGCAGAAGTAGAGAGGAGGCATGTCACATGGAAACATAGTTTCTTTCCTTCCTTCAGGGGCC